AAGGGCAAGATGTCACAAACAGAGTTCAACTGGTGTTCATCAACAGATCGCTGAACAATAAGATCTCTCCGGATCATTGTGGACCATTTTCCCTGAGCAGTAGAGGAGACAAACTGAGGTCTATAGATAGATGTATCAGGATTCACATCATTAGGTTGAACCTTAGGCATAATACTTCCTCCTCTGGAGCGAGTATTTGGTTTCGCCTTCCGGGTAGAAGATGTGGGAGCCACAGCAGGAGCTTTTTGCTTGACAGATGACCGCAAGGTTTTGAACACTTGTTGAACAGGAGGATTAGTTTAAGTATGGACAGACTCATCAGACTTCCTCTTCTTCTCAGGTTGAGCCACATCAAGATTGTCATCACCAGATTCCACAACCACTTTCACAGGGACACTATTCCGTTTGGATTTTCTCGTCTCTTTGGATGGGGAATGAGCAGAAGGGATTGGAGACACAGAGTGACTTGTCTCAGAAACTTGGGCTAACGAACCTCCAAGAAGACTTGTAACTTCTCGAATATTGAAGGTGGTTGAATCAGGATGCGCAGTAGCCTCAACCGAATGAGGTTTTGACACATGGGCTTGTGAGCCATATACTTCAGGAAGAATCTTCTCATCTTCACTAGAGGACTCAGTAGGATGAATCACACGATATGGCTCTGGAATAGAAGCAGCGAGTAATCCTACAAAGTGCCGGACATGTTTAAGGCTCTCAGCCAACGCTGAAGAAGTGTAGACTAGTACCCCATCTATTTGATCAAAAGCATGGGGACTAGAGATACTAGCAGCCTCAATTTCACCGGGCAAACTGGAGGGATTCTCAGACGGACATACTTCTCTTGGAGACACAACAATTTCAGTAGAGGGCAGAGCAACTTTTTCAGCAGAGTAAACAACCAAACTAAGATTGTTGGCCAAATCGGAGGATTTATCTTTCTCATCAGAAGCTTCATCAACAACATTTTTCAGAGGATTAGATTTTTCAGAGGGGATACAGGGGGGATCATCAGACACATAGGATCTCACAGATAATAAAGCATTCACAGAATCAGTTTCAATAATAGGCACAGTGGTCGGAATAGCAGCAGAGACTAAATCATCAGGCTTATTAGGAGAGATTTCGATAGGAGATTCAGAAGTGTTTGACCTATTATGAAGAATCTCTAACCGGTGTTTGGTTTCGTCCTGGGCAGCTTGTAGATAGAGTGGTTGAGATGCTGCCTGACGACGGGAAACCTCGTCTGATTCAAGAGCCCTTTGTGCAAAGAATAGGAGGAATGCCCCGGCACGATTCCCATTTGCGGGCTCTGGAATGGAAGCTGGGCTAACCTCATCACTCGCTTCGGAGGCCAGCAACAAGAGCTCACTAGTATCTTCCTCAGACCAGTCTGCGTAAAACTCCGGATAATCGGAAAACACCGTGACCATGATTTCATCCCGTAGAATAGGATCAAGCTTCAACTTCATCTTCATAGCTAACTGGAGCAGTGTTTTCACATGCTTAGTGGTTGTTTCTAGTGAATGAACCTTTCTCCCAAGCTTGATGATGATATTTCGTACAGCGTCCGCCATTGATAAGCAATTTAGGTATGCAAGAAGGTAAACCCTAGGTAGAAGAGCAGAGAGAAATCAATGAGTATAGATATGTTGAACACTTCTTCCTTTCAAGCTTGACCCGATACACATATATAATCCCAAGGGAGAAAAACCCTATTCAATGCGGCTTGTCATATTACATGCAGAGCTGATGTGATTGACGCAACGATATACCTCCTTTTTAGGAATGAAACGGAAGAGTTGCAAATTTGAAATTCGAAAAAGGCTAATTACTTTATGGTAACTTTGGTTAAGATATTCTCTTAACAAAACAGAAGGGAGTTTTAAAAGGAAGTCAAAGGTTGAAATTTGACCCATAAAAATAACACCATGTACTCTCCTTCTGTGTAACTTACTGCCTTATTAATCAATCCTGCAGATTCCCAGAGCCGATCTGAGAATCTCAAAACGATTTGCATCCAGGGCTTAGTCAGAATGTCAGCCAATTGCTTATCAGTTTGAAGGTATTCCAACTCTATCTCCTTGGACTCTACCAAGTCTCTGATGTAGTGATGCCTTATATCAATATGCTTCGTTCTAGAATGTTGAACTGGATTCTTCGAGATACTGATTGCACTGACATTATCACAATAGAGTGTCACAATTCTTTGAGTAAGTTCATAGTCCAGAAGCATCTGTTTCATCCAAACCAATTGAGTGCAACATCCGCCAGCGGCTATATATTCTGCCTCTACAGTACTTAAGGAAATTGAGTTCTGTTTCTTGCTCAGCCACGATACCATGTTCTTACCAACAAAGAAGCATCCACCCGAAGTACTCTTTCTGTCATCAATATTTCCTGCCCAATCAGCATCACAGTATGCAACCAGACTAAGTTCACTGTCCTTGGAGTACCATAGCCCATATTGAATTGTTCCTTTTATATATTTCAGAATTTGTTTAGCAGCTATCAGGTGTGATTCTTTTGGATCAGATTGATACCTTGCACATATTCCAACACTGAACATTATGTCTGGCCGACTAGTGGTTAAGTACAACAGACTTCCTATCAGACTTCGGTAGACTATGTTATCCACCGATGCACCAGTGTCATCTTTTGATACATTCGTGGAGGTAGAAATAGGTGTCCTGGATTGTTTACACGATACCAGATCAAACTTCTTGACCAGATTCTTGGCGTACTTTTCCTGTGAGATAAAATACCCTTCAGAACTTTGTTTAACTTGCAACCCTAGGAAATAAGTCAGTTGGCCAACCATGGACATTTCAAATTCTTCCTTCATGACCTTCAAATCCTTTCGGTTGAGCCACATAGATATCTTCATGTAGGTGCCCATTCAAAAATGTTGTCTTAACATCCATCTGAAACAGTGTGAATCCCAGTATGCATGCGACTGCCAACAAGATTCTGCTCGATTCTAACCTTGCCATAGGAGCAAACGTTTCATCATAGTCAATTCCCTCTATCTGAGTGTATCCTTGAGCAACTAACCGAGCTTTGTTCCTTGCAATATTTCCAGCTTCATCAGTTTTATTTTCGAATTATGTTGACACGATCAGGTCTTGGAACCAGATCCCAGACATGATTCTGGTCAAACTGGTGCAGCTCCTCTTGCATAGCCTTGATCCACAGATCATCCTGTAACGCTTCTTTTACACTTTTTGGTTCTATTTTTGAGGTATAGCAGGCTGATCCGGATATTTCTATCAGATTGTTTCTCATTCGGCTTCTAGTATTCATCCCATCTGTTGGATCGCCAATAATGTTGTATGAAGGATGATTTTTCTGAGTTCTGGTGGGCTTGGTCTTCCCCATATTATCGACGAGAGACGTCTCTTGTTCAGAAATTTGTTGATCTTCATCTGATGAATCTTGAGTTTTGGATCTGGTGTCCTCAGCTGTGTCTAACTCACTCAGAAGAGGTTCTGTCTCTGGTTCAGTCACTGATGCTTCTACAGATTCGTCAGGATAGTCATCTATAACAACATTTACTGATTCCATTACAGATTGCGTTCTTTTGTTATAGACTCGATAGGCTCGACTTTATGGAGAGTACCCCATGAAGATGCCCTCATCACTCTTAGGTTCAAACTTCCCCCTTTGTTCCCTATCGATCAGCACATAACACTTTGTCCCAAACACATGAAAATACTTCAAGTTCGGCTTCTTCTCCTTCCAGATCTCATGTGGCGTTTTGGACGTACCTGGTCTTAGGGAGACTCTATTCACTGTATGACATGCAGTGTGTACTGCCTCAGCCCAGAAATGTGGTGGTAGATGAGGTGCTTGTAGCATAACTCTAGCCATTTCCTGCAAGGTTCGATTCTTTCTTTCAACCACACCATTCTGTTGAACTGTTCTGGGAGCTGAGAATTTGTGGGCTATACCATTCTCAGAGCAGAAATCTGAATATAAAGAGTTTTCATACTCTTTACCATGATCACTTCTTAGTCTCTGAATTTTTATTATACGCTCGTTCTTTTCTTTTTGAACCCTTATGCACAAGGTTCTAAAATCATTGAAGGCTTCAAATTTTTCTCTTAGGAAATATACCCAGCTGAATCTAGTGAAGTCACCTACACACAAATATGTATTTCTTTCCACCAATGCTTTCAGTTTGTGTTGGTCCCATAAGGTCTATATATATGAACCAGTTCTGGGCATCGATCGGTAGTAATAACTTTTACTGCTTTGTGAGGAGTTCTTATTTGTTTCCCTATGGCACATGCACCACAAACCCCTTCTTGTTCTATTCCGATCTTAGGTATCCCTCGCACAGCATCCAATTTGATCATTTTGTCCATGTCTCTGTAGTTTATGTGACCCAGTCGTCTATGCCAGAGTTTTAATTCATCTGATTTTGATAGGAGACAAGCATTTTCATTAGTCAATACATAACAGTTGTCAGAGGATCGAGTTCCTTCCATTACCAGTTGATCTGCTTTATCCCTGAATCTGCAACAGTTACGATTGAAGCACACATTCCAGTTTTGATCACACAACTGACTGATGCTAATAAGATTTGCTTTCATACCACTGACTAATAGAACTTCTTCTAGATGTGGTAAGCCTGGAACATTTAGGGTACCTTTTCAAACTATTTTCCCTTTTTGTCCATCTCCATATGTAACTGATCCACTGCTCGGTTGAACAGCCATAAGACACTTGACATTACCTGTCATATGTCTGGAGCACCCACTGTCGAAATACCAGCTTGCTTCGATTGTAGAGGCGGTCAGAACTATAGTGGGGTAGCATATTACTTCTGACTTCCTGACCCAAACTTGTCTTGTGAACGGTGTAATAGTCTTGTTCTGATATTTCTCCTTCCTTTGGTCTCTGTAAAAGAAATAACACTCAGGTCGAGTGTGGCCTTTTGTTCGACAGTAGTGAGAAATGGGTGTATATTGTCTAATTCTAGCAAATTTAGCTTTGAACTTTCAGTACTGAGATTGAGACGCCACTCTGCCAAAATCAGTTTCTGCATGTGTCTTCCCTTTTTCCTTTATCTGGACTGACCTGGATGACTGTCCTATTTCATACCTGCGAGCTGATGTATCAATTGACACACCCTCTTTGACAAACACAGGAATAGTTTTCGAAGATTCTCCTCGTTTATAACCAAGATCCTTTTTGTCATTTGGATTTCGTCCAGAATCCAGAATTTTGTCTAGAGTTGATGTGGTGTCCATCATCTTTATGTTCTTCTTCAGATCATCCAACTCTTTTATCATTTTTCCTTCTCGAGATCTTATCTGAGTTATAAGATCTTCTTTTGTGACAAGTTCTGTGTTCAGTTTCTTCCGAAGATCATCTCGTTGTTTTAGATCTTCATTCAGATTTTTATTAGCTTTCACCAGTTGCTCCCAGCTTGCAACAAGTTTAGCAAATTCCATCTCAAGTTGGGTATGCCTCCCTTCAAAGTCATCTGTCGAAATATAAGACTCTTCATCAGATTCATTTCCTTCGGACTGGTTTTCTATAGCTGAAAAGAAAGCCACAAAGTTTCCCACGTTGACATCTGACTGACCATTAGATGCTTCTTCCTCATCATCACTTAGTGTAGCCACAGACATGGCCTTTTTTCTTTTGAGATAAGTTGCACATTCAGCCTGTATGTTTCCAAATCCTTCACACTCTAGACACTGCACTGACCGGTTGAGGGACCTGCCTGTGTCAGTCGAACTGCTTCGGGGTTGTCTTGGTCGACCAGTTTGAGACTGATTGTTCTGTGTGAAAGAGGGTGTGTTAGTGTTCTGATACGAGGAGTTACTGCCTTTGTATTGTGTCTTGTTAGATTGTCCTTGAGTCCTTCTATTAAAGCCTTTCAAGATCTTCCTAAAGTTCTTGGTTAGTAAGGCCAAAGCTTCATCATCTATGTCATCTATGTCTGATTCTCGATCAGCATCAGCAACAAACGCCACTTACTTGCCTTTCCTGTTGACAACAAGGTCATCATCAGCCAGCAATTCAAGTTCATATGTGTGTAAGCTTCCCATAAGCTCTCCCAGACTCTTCTTTTCCCAGCCTGTGTGTTCCTGAATTGCAGTTACTTTCATTCGGAATCGTTTTGGCAAAGATCGAAGGATCTTTTTGACTACTATTTCATCAGTGAATGGTTCGCTGAGTATTGAGGCTCTGTTCATCAGATTCTGAACACGACTGTGAAAGACTGAGATTGTTTCCTCTTCGCTCATTCTAAGAGCTTCAAACTCAGACAGGACCATTTGAAGCTTTGATTGCTTAACATCACTTATACCCTCATACCTGGTTTCAAGAATTTCCCATACTCGTTTTGCTTCCTTTACCCCAGTGACTAAGGTGAACACCGATTCATGCAAAGATCCTACAATAGAGTTCAGTGCTTTATTGTTCAGGTCAGAGGCCGTCATTTCATTTTCCGTCCACGTCTCAATAGGTTTTGCCGAAGTGGTTCCATCAGGGTTCTGAATAGTTGGTTGGCTCCATCCAGAGAGAACAGTACGATAAACCCTGGTACCTTGTGCCTGGAGATAGATCTCCATACGAGCTTTCCAGAATGAATAGTTGTGACCATCTAATTCTGGTGGTTTCATGCTTGCATCCATCCTGAATAAAAACAACCAGCCAAAAACACACAAGCAGGCAGACTGCCAACCGACAACTAGAGATACATCCAATAAAAAGAGAGCAATGCAAAAGCAACAACTTCCCGTACGGATCAAGTCACTATGTAGACTTAAAAGCTCTGATACCACATATAATTTTGCATTTTCTCAATTTAAAGATATTAATTAAAAGACTGACGAATTAGTCTGACAGATTCAACGATGATATTAGTCAGATAGTTGAAAGACTAATTCGCTTGCGGAAAGGATAAAGTAATGCAGTCAGCAAAAAGAATAACACACAAGATGTTTACCCAGTTCGATACAGTGTGTATCTACATCTGGGGGACGATCACATAGGCGTCCAATCCATTAACAAATAATCCAATGTACAAAGGTAGAGAACAATAATCTCACCCAAGTGCCCCACACAAGGTACGTACCCAGTCTGCACTGATTTAGTGGATTGTTGAAGATGGAGAGCCGAGCATACAGAAGTCCAATGAAATCCCTTCACTTGGAGAGCTAACTCTGATGCAGTCCACTGTTGTTCCCACAACTGTGTGATCTTTGCGTCCTTTTCGTTTAAGCAACGATATCTCTTCTCAAGTTCTTCATCATAATCAACAAGAACAAATTGTCTTGAGAAGAGTCATGATAATCAAAGATGTGATCTCTTAGTATATGCCGGAGTGTTTCTTTCTTCTCAAAAGCGTAACCCTAATTCTTGATCGAATAAGAGTACTTATAGTTCCATAATAAGAACACTCTCCATAGATATCTCTGATTGTAGATGGTAGGACAATATAAGAAGAATGTAATCTTAAATATCTGGTCCATACCTTTCCAAAACAGATACACTTATCTTCTTTCCAAAACTGACTTCTTAAACCGCGTTCTTCAAAAAGGAAACATCTTCATAAAACTGGTCTTCAGTGCCAGTCCCTATGTTGCTGTATCTGATCAATTAGTCCTCTGTAGCACAAAACGATACCAAGCTAACCCTATCTTAGTTTTCCATAATAATATTGCCGATTATATGTTGGGGTTTTTTGAACAATTAAAACACTAAGATATATATTCCTTACGCATGGAAACATGCAAAGGATAAATATGAATAATATACATATATGTAGTTCAATAATCTCAAGCATACAACTACATATACCAAGCATGTTAAGTGCAACTTTGAAGCATATAGCTTCAAAATGTAGAAGAGCATATTTCAAGCATGTTAAGTGTACTTTTGAAGCATATAGATTCAAAATGCCCCAAAACCTTAAGCATATAGTTTTGAAGCATATAGATCCAAACATGCATTAATACTCTCAAGCATATTAGCTATAACTCTCAAGCATATTAGCTATATATCACAAGCATATAGCTATATACTCTCAAGCATATTAGCTATATACTCTCAATCATATTAGCTATATATCTCAAGCATCTAGCTATATACTCTCAAGCATATTAGCTATATACTCTCAAGCATATTAGCTATATATCTCAAGCACATAGCTATATATCACAAACATATAGCTATATATCACAAACATATAGCTATATAAATTTCTCCTAGTACTTTAATAAACTTTCTACCAAACTAAAATAATATTTTCAACTCCAAATAATATTTAAGCTTTAATGGTAGTTCATCTGAAACATTAATCTCCATTACTATATAAATTTCCAACACTAGCTTTGACGCTAAAGGCATGAATCCTCTTTCAGACTAGCCACTTAGCCCATCCACCAAGCTTGGTTTCCTACAGCACCATCCGGTGAGGGTACAGTTGTAACACCCCGAAATTTTTCAACTTTTAAGACTTATATAATAAAGGTAAATTCTCGTTAAATTCCAAAAATATAACATAAGAGTATGGGGTGCTATACCACACCTGAGCTAGAGAACTCAGGTGCACAGGCTAACTAACTAAAATCCTCAATAATGTCAATACATAAGCATGACACGCAGGCCGAAATGGAAACTAACTACTCTGCGCGCCAAATCTCTAGCACGCTCCAGTGTCTACTCATCTGTGCCTGAAAGCCAAATATATATGTTCAGCGAGAGATGCTGGTAACCCACTCCAACGCGTTGAAATATATTATAGATAGATATATATAGATATACGAAAATCATTTCGAAGCAGGAAGATATATACTTAAGAGACACTAGTTTTAAAACCAGGAATAGACTCAGGAGATAGGGATAAGCACATCAAACAACAATGAATAGTTAAGTAGAGATAACATCGTAAGGAATACGCATCTAAGGTCACAGATCACTTTTCAATCCCAAAACACATCATCATTCAATCACCATTGATATCACATAATCGTTGATGGCGCCACGGGACCAATCGCATGCCCCGAACATGAGGGTTAATGCTTATAGCATTAACACGGCCCCGCAGCACCCTACCTCAGTACCGCAGTATGAGGGGAATTGATCGCAACCAACACTTTGAGAAGCGCTGACGAACTCAACGTCGAACCACGATCCTACACACCGCTGATGCACCCAGTTGGTGGACCGCGATCCCCTTTTCAAGGGGGGACTTATGACCCTACACACTGCCGATGGGTACGCCGGTGGACCATTGCGGATCAAGCCCGACACACCGCGGAGCTGTACTCAGTCAGTGGGCGAAGATCCTCGGAGACTATGGCCCTACACACCATCGTCCCATCACTCGGTGGGTTGCAGCCAGCCGTAGCCCTACACACCACCCCGATTACTCGGATCGGTGGACTATAGCCTTCCTCGGCTTATTGGCCCTACACACCGTCCTGGCGCATTCGTGTCCGGTGGGTCATAGCACCGAGGCCCATGTGGACCGCAGCCCAAGAAGTGAATCACTAACCGCAGCCAGGAGACTGAACCGCAGCTCATAAGTAGCCAAATAGTGGACCACAGCCCTATATAATATTTATATACCTGACCGATCACAACCGGCCTGGTTAACAGTTGGTATGGTTCTCAACCCATCTAACTGCCCCTATAGCCAATTTGATCGCAACCAAATTGGGGAATCATGCATCACATAACACATTATAAGACATAATAGCACATTGGGAAGGGGAGACATATAAATAAGCTTACGTGTGATCATGAACCAGCGGGGACCCGGGAGGGGTCACGAACCAGCGGGTAGCCGGTGGGTGAGGGATCACCCGCCGGCTAGCCGCCGGAGATCACTGCCCGGCAACGGGTTGCCGGCGGGCGGACGCCTGCCCGGCGCATGCCCGCTGCCCAGTGGTGATCTTCGGGCAGCCGGTAGGTTGCGGGTACCCCTACCCCCACCTACCCCCCCACAGACTCATTCATCAATAATTCATCCCGGGATCCTTTGTGGAACCCAAAACCATGCTTAGACACTTTTAAACACAATTAACGACACCACGTAGTCAATTAACAGATCAAAATCAAGAATCACATATAACTCATCCTATCGCGACTTCTAAATATAAACAACACCCGAACATGTGAACTCCCATCCAAATATAAATCAAGAACATTATAACACGAATTCCCAATTCATCCTAGGGCTCTAATCCCTCGCAAATCATCAAAATCACAATTTATCTTTAATATCAAGAAATATCCAGATTTTTCAAGAATCATTACATCAACATCAAGAACCTCTTTTCATCATCAAGATCATCAAGATTATCAAGTATACACACAAATCATCTTATCAATCATCAAGAATATGCCACAATTAACATAGAGGAATTAATCAAGACACACTCATATAGAAGGAGGCCAAGGAAGGAGATTATAGCGAAGAAAATAGGTTTTGTTGAGACAGGGGTTACCTCTTAGCCTTAATTAATTTCCTTGGCTATGAAGGGTTTTTCTTTAAGATTTCTCCTTTCTTGATTTCTCCTAAGGGAATTCTTGGAACTTCTTGTGTGGTGAGAGATTATTTGTGGTGTGAGTTCTAGGTGCCTCCTATGTCCCTATTTATATAATTAGCTACTTCTATTGCCTATGGGACTAAGGGTTGGATTTATGAATAAGGGTCCATGGGCTTGTGGTGGGCCTTTCATAATCAATGAGATTTTAATCTTTCTTTCTGGGTAATTAATTAATTGGTTTATGGGCCGTAACACGGGGTGTTACACTCTCCCCCCCCCTTAACGGGAAGCTTCGTCCCCGAAGCTTTGGTCCTTGCCGAGTGACTTCTTCCCTTATCATATGCTTTCGTCTTGGTTACCTGGTGTGAAGTGTTCGGGGTAGCGTTTCTTCATTGTGTCTTTGAGTTCCCATGTTGCTTCTTCGGTCCCATGGTTGGTCCAGAGGACTTTTACCATTTCTATGGCTCGTCGGCGGGTGGTTCTTGTCTTGGTGTCCAGGATTCTTACGGGTTTCTCTTCATAAGCTAGTGCATCGTCAAAGTCCACGGCCTCGGGTTGTAGTACGTGGCTTGGGTCGTGTACGTATTTCTTTAGTTGGGATATGTGGAATACGTTGTGTACCCGTTCCAGTTCGATGGGTAGGGCGAGGCGGTAGGCCAGGTTCCCGACTCTTTCTATGATTTCATAGGGGCCGATAAACCGGGGGTTGAGTTTTCCTTTTCTTCTGAACCTCATTACCCGTCGTGTGGGCGAAATTCTCAACCAGACTTTGTCCCCGAGGGTGAACTCGGCTTGTTTTCTTCCTAAGTCGGCGTAGGATTTTTGGTGGTCTTGGGCGGCGTTCATTCTTTCTTGTATGTGCTTGACTTTAGTTATGGTGTCTTGTAAGTATTGGGGTCCTAGTGTTACTGGGCCGACCATGTCTTCCCAACATAAGGGGGTTCTATATTTTTTATCGTACAGAGCTTCATAGGGGGCCATGCGGATACTTGCATGGTAGCTATTGTTGTAAGAGAATTCGATGAGGTCTAGATGTTCCTCCCATGTCCCTTGGAAGTCCAACAGGTAGGCTC